TGTGAAATCAAAAGGACAGCTAACAGTCTGATCAGACTACACGGCTCTTTATAATTTCTGGTGCAACGGTTTATCACTTTCCAGCAGGGTTAGGGTCCATCTAAATATGTTTATGTTTTTTATGAAACATTCTATAATTGTTCAGCGCTGAAGAAATATTCATTTACAAAGTTCGCGTGCAACGCTTGGACTATCACGGTTTGGTAATTCGACATCTTTCTTAACACGCACAGAACGCGAAAACAATAACATCATCGACATGGTAAAACTGGTGATACAAATCTATGGTTTGAAGTGAACCAAAACTCCCAGAGAGAGAAAGAGAATGACCGATCGATTGTTTGCATGTTGTAAAAATAAATCTATAAGGATAAATGAAACACAGCAACTTCTCTCCCTATTAAAAACTATATCTATATATCTAAACTGAAATATAATAATTTTCAAAAATGCATTTTTTCTAAATATTCGGTATTTAAATGTTCAAACATTTTTTTCCATTTTCCGTATGATTTTACAAGACCATTTTAAAAACTTTTTTTAGATATTGTCTCATCAGCCAATTTTATTAGTGTATATCCTCTTTTGACTTCTGGATTTAAAAAAAAATATATTGCAGAATAAAATTTCGAATAAAAAATATATAACATAGGAAAAATGAAAGAAAAACATTTTTTCAACAAATGGAGTCACTATGTTTTTTCCCCGACCCTGAAGATCGTTCCGGTTTCATTTTCAAGTTTAAATCATGGGTACTCTCGAGTAAATTCATTCTCTATTACGCTCAAATAATGGATTTTCCATATGAAAATAAGACAATTTTACAACATTAAGTTGTTTATACTATTTTCTTACTTATCAACAAACTCTTCACACACATGTATTTCAAAATATGATATTATCAATTTCCCCCGTTTTACACTGCAACTTGAACACCACGCTTTTTGTGAACGAAACTAATAACCCAAAACTGAACTTCTCAAAAAGTCTACGAATGAATTTATGGCATGTACATGTGTACACCTATCACTATGTACGAAAAATCTGAAATCTATCTCTTTTTAAATAACATTCACGAGTCGACGACCCTACAAATGTTATGTTGATTCACCGGGACAAAACTGTTACGGATGGCAGTGCGTGAAACGTTATTCAGACAGTAAAACTCTGAACATTTTCAACTTTAATATAGAATGTACATGTATTTCATAAAGGTAAAATGGCACTTCTATACAGCAGCTTCATTTGGTTTAACCAACTGCCGAACTATATATTTTTAGTACAACATGTATTTTCTGCCGAAAAAAAATTACATAAGAATCTAACAGAGGTCAAAGAGCCCTTAACAATTCAGAAACAATTCACATCAGGCCTCGACACTAACTTTTTTAGCAGGTGGTAAACCGGACCACTTGATTTGAAATTTAGGTGGTCCTTCCGGAAGTCAGGTGGTCAGTTATTATAACCATATTATTATTTTATTGTTTTTGAATTTTGACTCTTTGACTGCAGATTTAGAAAAAATGCTTTGAATTGATGACAAAGATGTATAATTACCTTTTACAGTAAAGAAAACAGATCACTTAAATATATATTTTTTCATCTAATTAGAAATGTAGGAGAGCAAGTCAGTAAAGTAAAGTTATCTTGTTTTTTTTATCTCATTCAAAAACACATAATAGGGTTCGTATTTATGTTATTTTTATATTGAATCGACTACTCCCTCAACTTAAGATAGGGAATAGTGAAACAATTAATTTTGTGTCTGCCTTATTTTCTTACTGTTATTCAAATACTCATTGCTGATACATGGTACGTCTAACTCTTATAATCATGATCAATTATCTTTTATAGATTAACATTTTTAACAAAGCTATTAAATTATCTAATTCTTGTCTTTAAAAACAAAGAAATAACTAAAGGATAAAAAAATAATAATACCAACGTAAAATTTAACTATACTCAAATGAGCCTTGCACCAACCAGATAATTCAGCTGGTCCGACGGACCAGTGTCTTTTAAAATAAGGTGGTCCTTGCCAAAATCGGGTGGTCTCGGACCAACGGACCACCGCTAATGTCGAGGCCTGCACATTCTGTTAGAAAAAGAAATGTCAAAAATCCTATGAACACAAATGTAATATATATATTGACAGTGACTGGGCTTAAAACTTTTCATCGGACGCCGATTTTGGATCATATTCTAAGTTTTACTACATGCTGCTGTTGTTGTTGTTTTTTGTTTTGTTTTTAGTTGTTGTTGATGTTGTTGTTGTTGTTTTATTTTCGTCCAATTTCGTGCTTCAAAAAATCGATTACTTTTTTTTAAGGAATATCGGGTAATTGAAATGAAAACGAAAATTGTTGTTCAATGACAAAATTATAAGACCCACTCATTACATACATTAAACCCCGTAAACATTCCACCTCACAAACATATGGGTAATGCTTCAAAAGGAGGGTCTACTTAAATTACTGGGAAATCAATACTACTTTGATATAAGTACAGCTAAGCTGCTGAATTAATTTTCTTCAAAACATGTATACATAACACGAAGTTCGTGTTATTGTCATAAAATGATGAAGGGGAACACTTTTTTCATCTGACTCTTGAATTAACATTTCCCCGCTACTAACACTGTTTAGAACACAAGACGCACTGTTGCCACCATGAAGGAGAATACCAAACTGGGTGTTTAATTAAATGATAATGGTAAGTTATTGTACAGAAAAGAACACAATTTCGTTGATCTACGTTATTTAGCTTCAGAAAAAAACGATGACCACAAAGCACTATATTTTAAACAAGTTTTACTTGTTTAGTTGTGTTCTAAACAGGTTATTTTAAAATAACTAAAATATCTATTTAAATAAACAGATTAAAGAGGCTTTCATGCAATGCTGAAAATGAAATAATGGTGAAAAATAAATTTTATAAAACCAAAAAATTCGTCCTCGCTAGCGTGCATCTGTGGAAAAAGTTAAAAATTTAATTACACTTGCTCAACACCATATTCCAGAATAAATACTTTTCAATATACAAAATTATCTTTGAACTAAAGTTATGAAGAATAAAACTTTTACACGAAAAGACAAAATCACAACGATAAAATAGGGGAAATGTGTTGCTTTCGCAACGTGCATCTGAAAACAATGACAATGTGTTAGCAAGATAAATTTCTGATAATCACAATAATTAATAAATAACATCCGATATTTAAAGTTAAATTCTAATAAAAGGTGGAAAAATTGTTTGAACATAAAAATATGATGTAATTAAAATATTTCTTTCACAAAATGTAACTTAAAACTCACTTTGACGTTCTAAAACTTGCTAAATGCACGTAAAACGTGTGCTTCCTTGTACAGACTTAAACTTTTCATATATCTCGATACTAAATTTTAAATTGCATATTTTATACAAAGGTATTTTTCAACAAAATACTCTATAAAAAGTTACCTAAAGGTTTTTTGCAACTTTTACCAGTAAAAATATGACTATTCCACCAATCTAAATACATGTAAACTGAAATTTTCTATTGCGTAACTGTAAAATTTTGAAGCCGTCTGAGTAAAGTGAAGAAATTGACAATTTCAAATGCGGATTTCTCTATTATTGTTGGGCGATGGCGGTTGGAAATACTTGGAAAAGTTTTAACACATACATGCCCAAGTTTCTACACTGTTAAAATTACTTGAGATCCGAGGGTAAGTATTCGCATTTTAAAATCTTAGTTGTACGTGTTATTTCTCATTCAACTACAAAAATGGCTGCTTTCAAACACAATGCAGCGCTAATGTTTGGTGGATGTTTATGCAATAGTTAGACCTGTACATACCAATTTTCTGCCCCCCTCGGATCCGTCAGTCATGGTGGGATTGAATCAAATCGGGTCTCATATAAATTGACATAGAAATACTTGAAAATAGATGATTTTTTAAAACTTATTCTGTGTGTACATGTACATGTAAATAACCTTAGCCTGGCTTGAAGTCACGTGACATGCATATAGGATTTGGTTGACGTAAATATGTAAAAAATAAATTTAAACGAAATTTTTATTTTTCCGTGAATCGCGAAAACTGCATGCAAAGTAAGACACGTTTTCTCTCTGGAAGTTTTAAGAATAATTTTGATTTATTTCTATTTACAAATTATAATAGCTTAAAGATCCTGTAACACATTTTTTTCATGGTTTTATTTCATAAATATGACGCTCAAATTAAGATTTGTCAATCTTGTAAGTTCAAATAAGCATTATTTATAAAGATATTACCCAATTTAACATTTTGCGTAAATAAAGGGAGGTAATTAGAAATTTATTTTCTATAAATTCCAAGTCAAATTTTCCAATAAGAAATGAATGCATGTAATTTATTCATTAAATATAATGTTCACAAATATTTGCAGTACACATTTTACATATTCTTGGATGTTTGAAAATTGTTTTATTTGCATAATTATATACATATATAACATGTTCCAAGTGTATGATACATACAGTGACAATATCAATCACAAAACATACAGGATCTTTAACAAAAGGAAAAAATAACATTAAATGTATTACTTGTAGTTAAGATTTAAATTTGTACCGTAAATTTATTGACCCAGATTGAATTTTAAAACAGGTAAGAGCACTTCCTAAATATTTCAAACAGAGCACGCATTGTATTTTGAAAGTAAATTATCTTTCAAGCACGTGCATAAAGTATGTATAATATAAGTCATTACTCAAAAACATATAAATTTAAGTGTAATGAATTTAAAGGGCAATGGTGCTGTATAAAGTATACATACTGTTTTATCACATGAAGTATATTACTCAAATATGTTTAGAACCCAACGTTAGCTATAGTTAATTTAACGTTTTTTAACTTTATGCATGCACTGGGATTCCTAACAACGCATCTTTTGCCAACACTTTCTTTTAAAGAAGTAGCCCAAGGTACTCCGAAAAATTAAAACTAAAAAAAATATTTCGTCCAAACAGAGAAATTTAGATTTTTCTATTCACTTAGCTTGTCAGAATAAAAACAAATGTGTCAAATTAAATTTCTTCAAAGCAGAATTGCATGTTGCTAACAAGCAGATGCCAGCTCCGACAAACACTTCCTACGAATCGTGGCTTTTTCGTTCTTTTGTTAATCAAATGTCATCCCAACATTCGACAACTGCGCTATCATGGCGAAAACTGTATTTAAGCAGAGCAAAACTGAAAGCTTCAAGCCGGACGTCGGCGCTTTTGTCAGGATTTGCAATGGTTATTAATTACAATTATCATTATCTATTTCTTTATTTGTATGATTTTTATTATATTTATTTATTTAAAAATACTTGTTAAATTTTGAAAAATAATTCATTTAAAATTTTTATGTTGAATTTATCAGACATGACTATGTTATCCCGAAACAACCAATTTTCAATCACAACCTAAATTCAAACACATTCTTAATTCTGTGGCATTGATGTCATGTCTGACTAAATTGCATAAAGTCACATGTTGTATTAACTTCAAAACTTGCAGAAATGCCATACTTGATTAATTGTCAGTTGTTATCAGTAAAACAATAAGAAACTGTTTGTTTTAAGTGACACAATATAAATTGTCCAACTTCAACTATATCAAAATAGTCACTTGTTTAAAATAGTGGAAAATTTTTTCCAAGCAAGTTAATTTTTTTTTATAAAGTATTGGCTAAAGAGTTTTACCATTTACCTCAGTCCTAAGTGTATTTAAAACATTTATTTATATGATGTACCACTAAATATTCATCAGACTTTACATGGGGGTCCTTATTAATAAAATCTTTTATTGTTATCAATTTTTTCATGTGATGATTGTAGAATAATTGTTTTGTAGGCAGGGTTGTCATTAACATTTTTTGCAGAAGGTTTGTTTTGAACTTGAGGCGGTCATTTCTGTCTTTATCATGCATAACAAAGAGTGTTTTCTTAATTTTGAGGCGGCCCATAATGCATTTGAGACAGGCATTTTGGCCTCCTGCCGCCTCTTAATGACAACCCTGTGTAGGCAATAGCAACTGGCAGATCTAAACAAGTTTCCGTATTTGCTAGTATTATAAAGTGGGGAAGGTAAAATGCTGTAAAGATTGGATGCATTTATCATTTTGCAACCCAAATAGCGTACTAAGAAGTGACACCTTTAACTGCCTTTTTATACACATTAACAGTAGTCATACTAATGCATTGTACTTTACATATGTTATAACATTTAGTGTAAGTTTTTTAAAATCTTGAAAAAACTGTTGAAAATCGTTGAATAGACTGTTGTGAAATTTTCTACAATTTTAAGTGGCCCTGATTTATCTTGAACAAATTTTCCATAATGATTACCCTGCTGTTTGAATTTAGGTTAAAATATTTCTGAGAGTGACCTGAGTGGGTCATATCGTTTTTATTAGCTCGACTTTTCTATGAAAAGGGGAGCTATCCTACTCGCCCCGGCATCGGCGTCGGCGTCGGCGTTGGCGTCACACCTTGGTTAAGTTTTTCGTACCACCCCACTTTATTTCAGAAGTATTACAAGTATGGCTTTGAAACTTACCATACTTGTTCACCATCATAACCTCCATCTACAGACAAGAGTACATAACTCTGTCAAGGTTTTTGACAGAATTATGGCCCTTTTTTGACTTAGAAAGTGTATTGAGCTTGGTTAAGTTTTTTGTACCACCTCACTTTATTTCAAAACCATTGGAGGTATTGCTTTGAAACTGACCATACTTGTTTACCATCACGACCTTCATCAACAGACAAGAGGACATAACTCTGTCAAGGTTTTTGACAGAATTATGCCCCTTTTTGACTTAGAAAATACATTGAATATGGGTAAAATCCACTTATTGCCTTAACCCTTTGAGATATTGCTTTGAAACTTTTAATGCTATTTCACATCATTACCCCCATCTGTACGCAAGAGAAGGTAACTCTGTCAAGGATTTGTTTTAAAAATTAAGGCCTTTTATCGACTTAGAATCTTGGTTAAGTTTTAAGTACCAGTCCACTTTTTGACTGAACTGTTTGAGATATTAATTTGAAAGTTGGAATACTTGTTTACAATCATGATTCCCAAACATGTCCAGGAGAAGGTAATTCTGTCAAAGATTTTATTTGAATTATGGCCCTTAACTGTCAATGTTTTGTATTATAGGCAAGCACTAAAAAACTTAAAAAATCTAAAAAAATTCATTCCTATCCACTTTACCATAAATTATGTCATATAAACATTGCTGTAATATTCAAGTTTTTTTTTCTTTCTTACCAGCCCTCTTTTGACTTAAACATTTCAAACTTTGCTGCAGTGTTCAAGGGTATCACACAATTCAGTAAAATAATTCTTCACTAAATATCTTAATGCTCATGGCCATTGTTCACTTTAAAAATACAGAGATTCTTGTATTGCCTTTTACTGCAAAAACTTTTTTTATTGGCAAGCAATAAAAAAGTCGAGCGCGCTGTCTTACGGACAGCTCTTGTTGAATTTCTAAGAAAGATCAAGACTTGTTGAAAATGTACCAACCTTAAAATGAAAAAGTGTTGATAGATGCATTAATAGCTAAAATAAATTTGAAGCATAATTTCTCCTTCCATTTATTATTGGCTAAAAATGGCTTAACTGATTGAATATTGGTTGTCCCGGGATACTGTTAGTGTCATTTTATATAATGATAGTCAGTAATATACACGTGTTGTCTATATTGGCGGGCAAGCCAGGGCCTTTGGCCTCCCTGTGTTAGTGTTCTCTCCCTCTCTCCCTGTTTTGGGGGAACTGTTCTGGTTAATATAACGATTAACCCCACTGACGACTCGCCCAATTTAGGTGACATTTCGCCCAACCTTTGTTCATTCATTTATATTAAAAATGCTTATAACTGGTTTGGGTACTTTCTTGCATATATGGGGCAAATAGTCACTAAAGGAGTGGTACTGGTTGGGGACCACCAAAACCGGACAACCACCAAACCCGGACGGCCCCGAAAATGCTTAATTTAGTAATTTCTTTGTTCAGTGGTTGTCTGTCACTTTTTTCTGAACAGTTAATGCATGTTTCTTCTAAAATTAAGTAAATAAGTTTATTCCAACCTGCGTAAATGGTAATATTTTAATGTCTATTCCAAGTATGTTGACGTTGAGATTTGGGGGTCAAGAAAGCAATGCCTGACCTCATATACCAGCTATAATTATTTGCAGAGTAAACAATAGAATATCAAAAACTTCAGCATTTGTTGCTGAAATATTGTATATCATGTTAAAAATAAAAAATCAAAACACCCAAGCTTTTATCTGAATTAAATCACGTCATGTACATATCTGTCCGGACACATGGTACTGTAGTGTAGACAATTTAGGTAATTTTGATACCCTCCTTGTCGAGCCTCAGATATAAATGTCTATACAATCAGAAATAAACAAACTAGTTTGTTAGTTAGGAGTAGAACCTAGCTGGACTGAGTCAAATTTGCTTGGCTCTAGGTTAGAAATTATGAAATCTGTACGGAAAAATGTTAAAAAAGTGTGTGGTTGATGGTCCCCGACCAGTAGTCAGTATGGGACAAATAGGGGTACTTGTCCTAAAGGAAATTTTCATGTTGTTTCCCCATGAAGCAAGCCTATTCTTTTAAACTTTTGATTTGGTCCTGGAAAATGACAGTATGACTACACAGAAGGGATGCACTAGTATTATGTAAAGTCTAAGTTAAGTAACTTTACCGATAGATATACAAGTAAGGCCCCCACGGTTACACGTTTAAAAGGATTCGTTTCGATTTTCATTCGTAAACGGTTACAATATGTTTTACCGTTTAATCGAAATGACCATATTGTCTTACAAAGTATCTTCATCATTGCCTTTTATAATGGATTTTATCTTTTCTAATTGGTTTATTCCAAAGTAAAAAATGGAAAATGGGTGTTTACAACCCACACAGTATCACTGTGCAATAATTGTTCCTGACATAATGCATTTTTGGTAAAGTTGATTTTCCTTTGATCTTTCAAATAGCGAAATGGGGATACAATGAAGAAAATGTGTGCCGACTCAATCGTAATGAGCCCTGAACATTATTTACTTGTACTTGTATTTAAAATAGAAAGTAAGTCATCTTTTGGCGACTGGTGTAGTATAGTACATAGAAGTACCACCGTTTAAACGGTATCGTTTCGGTTCTTAGCAATCGTGTAAACGTTTACAAAAAATTGTAAACGTGGGAGCCTTATATACAAGTAAAAAGTATCATTGAGTACCCTAGATACACAAGTAAAAAGTGTCATTGATTACCCTAGATATACAAGTAAAAAGTGTCATTGATTACACTGAATTTGTCTCTTACCTAGATACACCATCATTTCTGTTCATGTCAAAAG